TTTAAATAAAAAGTACTTGTATCGCTGAAGTTCCTCGGAAAGAATTTATACCGGAAATTAACAAACGAGCAGATACGTAATAATATATTAATTACTTTATGTTTTATTTTATTAACTAGGTAGGTCGATAAAACAGTTTAGCAAGCAGTGCACAAATATTTAGGAAATATATTATAAAATAGAGCTGTTTATACATTAAGTTTTAAAATATAATACTTACTTTTTGATGAAGTTTTATAAACTTTTGTGATTTAAGTCTTACTTATGTACAAAGCACTTTTAATAGTTAAAATGAACGGATGAATAATCACTAAAAGGTCAAATGAATATATAGTTTGACCTACTCTCCAGCCTAGCTCTTCCTTTCTCTAAATTACAATTTATTAATAGATTTTTCTAAGGCCGACTCCCATTAAATTTACAACCAATAGGTAGCTTAGATTTCAATTGATTGACTGGCATATGTTTTATACCACGTGATGTTAGAGATAATAAACAATTTAGACAAAGAGAAAAAATTTCAAACGAGAACATGGAAACTGTAGTTGAATTTTTAACTCCCCAAGTCACGTGACCAGAAAATTTCTCACAGAAAGACCAGTTTCTCAACTGTTCACATGAAATTATTATTCTCTGTATTATGTACTTTAAAAAAATATTTTGTGGACTAGTAGCATTTATGTAAAGTAGTAGGGCTAACCTAGGACAGTCAACGGCAAAAACAATACAATAAACGAGTGATATATTTCTCGTTTTTTGTCTATTCTTTACTATACCCTGATTAAAGAAATCACTTGGCTTTGAAGCAAAAAACATGTTGACGTCCTCTTTAACACCTTCCACATTTTCATACGTTTTCCCATTAAGATAGTGTTGCAGCGAATGAAAAAAATGGTAATCTGATAATGCCATATCTGGAGAATATGGTGAGTGGGGAGAACTTCCCAACACAACTCCATAATATTGTGTTGCATCAAACGTGCCACATGTCAACATGCATTGTCATGGAGAAAAACATCTTTCCGATTGACGAATGAAAGGTGTTTCTGATGAAGGGTTTGATTTAAACATTCCAGTTTCTGACTACAGATCTCTGTGTTGACAGTTCTCTGTGGGTTGAGGAGTTTGAAATGAATCACTCCTTTGATGTCCCACCAAATGCAAAGCATCACTTTCTTGTGGATGGAGTCCAGGTTTTGGGGTTGAAAAATGTTTTTGTCTAGGACTGAGCCATTGTTTTTGGAATTTAATATTTACATAGAGAATCCATTTTTCATCATCGGTGACAATTCTGTCCAAAAATGGTTCACGCACATTACGCGCCAAAAGAGACGAAGCAACATTCAAACATTGGAAACT